AGTCTACAGGCACGTGCTGCTGTGCCTGGCTTGAAAGAAAACTGCTAAATCTTTTCTCTTCCCTCAATATCGTGTTGTAAAAAAGTTTTACTACACAAAAGTTGAAATAGTTGTACAGAGAATACCATATAGCTGCCACCCTGATTCTACAGTTGACATTTTTCTATATTTTCCATATATTATCTATATCAGTCCATATATTTATGCATATTTAGATCCTTCTATTCATCCAGGTGTCCTTCTTATTCCTAAAGCACTCACTGGAAATGCACACAAAAGAAATCTTAAACAAAGTGAGAGAGCGTGCCAGGGCAGAGTACTGAGACATACAGAGAAATCACCATAAATATGTAAACTTTCACTGTGTTAATTTATAAATGTAATGTAATCCAACTTGAATAACAATTGAATTTTCTTAACTACAGGACTCCACTTCACATTAAAAAAAAAAAATCAATGAAGAATCCAGGCAAGTTCTGGAAGCAAAAATTATGCAAAGAAGAGAAGTAGAAAGCTTTAGGGTATAATAAAATATGTTATGAAACTATAACAATTAAAATGGTGTGGTACTAACTCTAAGATTAAGAAGTCTGCATTTGTGAATTTGGAGTATAAAAATGGTGGCATTTTGAGTCAGTGAAGAAAAATATAATGGCAATAACAAAGTTAAAAATGTAGGAAAAAATTGGAACCCAATCACATACTTTACTTAAACTCCTGAAGGATCAAATTTACATTAATATAAATAAACAACTACTTTGAAATTATAAAAGATTAACAAGTACAAATTACTTAACTATTTATTAATTTATTTTTCTTTCCATATTTATTTATTTATTTATTTATTTATTTATTTATTTTTGTTAGCCAGGCAGGCACTTGTGCTCCTGGGCTACACCCCAGTCCCTAAAATAACAACCAACCTAGTATTCTCCTCCTATTCAAACTGCTTAACAAAAAATATCTTACTCGGGAAAAAAAGGAAAGTCAAAAGAAAAATAAAAGAAGAAAATTCTTGAATTTCATCTGTGTGTTTTTTTTTTTAATTGGTACCAGGGATCGAACTCACGACTGCCTGCTTGCAAGGCAGGCACTTATGCCGCTGAGCTAAATCCCCAGCCCCTTTCATCTGTGTTATTAAAAATCAATAAATGGCAACCAACAAGGCAATGCAAAAATAAACAAACTGAGCATGTTGGCACAGGCCTGTAACCCCAGCACTTGGGAAGCAGAAGCAGGAGGATTGCTATGAGTTTGAGGCCATAGTGAGTTTAAGACCACCTTGAATTACAAGGTAAGACCCTGTCTCAAAACACCAACAAGGAAAGAAAGAAAGGAAGGAAGGAAGAAAGAAAGAAAGAAAGAAAGAAAGAAAGAAAAGGAAGGAAGGAAGGAAGGAAGGAAGGAAGGAAGGAAGGAAGGAAGAGCAATCAGCAGCTTCCCAGAGAGGCCAGCTCCGCCTTACCCAGCAGACTGCCCAGAGCGACACGCCTTTGCAGCGTTTTTGATTCCGGGTTGTCGAGGTGAGGAGGTGAGAAGGCACGATTCTCACACAGAGCTTGTAGGAGGGCAGAGTGCTCCCCCTTCCGGGGGACGTAATTTACCAGGATTAAAAATGCATAAACTCTTCGACCCAGCAGTTCTAACCTCCAGATATTTTATTTTACAGATGCATTTGCATATGCATGCACAGATTTATAATCTAGGAAATGCACTGCAACGTTGTTTGTGAGAGCACACAGTTAGAAACAACCTAAATGTTCATCACTTAAGGACTGGCTAACTAACCCTGTTTGTCTCTATAATGGAATATTCTACAGCCGCTAAAACTGAGATACATTGTTAACCTAAATATAGATGCTGGCCCACGGGAGTCTGAAGGCCAAGAGGGACTCTAGACATCTGAATTTATGACAAGTACTCCTGTCCTGCATTGGTTTTTAGTTCTTTGTTGTTGTTTTGGTTTGGGTTTTGGTTTTTCCATGGTCCCACTATGCTACATTACTGAAATTGGCCTTGAATTCCTGGACTCGAGCAATCTCCTGCCTCAGCCTTCTGCATAGCTGGGATCCCCACCACACCTGGTTTCCTGGGTTATTCTTGTGGGCATACAGAGAAAAGTGGCCTGCAGCTACGCGGGGTGGGGGGCCTCCATACCACCCATGGGTGCTTCCCCGCCCAGGCTCTCTCTTCCCTGCTGTCACCCCGCCCCCATCACCACCGGCAGTGCCTGGAGACCGAGCACAGGTACAGGTTGTACCTGGCTTTCAGGTACAAACTACAGCGAGGTTACCAGGAGTCAGAATTTCCCAGGCGCCTGGAGTGGCCGTGTGGGTGCTCCAGTTAGGAGCATCCTGGTTTTTTTAAAGCTTAATTGAGATGATTTACACAGCACATGACTCACCCAATTAGAATATATATTCCGTGGCTCTTGTCACAGTTTCACAACCAATATTACAATCAATTTTAAAACACTTATATCACCCCAAAGGAAATTGTACCCATTTTTCTTCTCCCTAAGTCCTGGGCAACCACCAATCTGATTTTTGTCTACAAATTTGCCTGTTCAGACATTTCCTAGAAATAGTATCGTATGCTCTGTGGGCATTTGGGTCTATCGCTTTCACCTAGCACTGTGTTTTCAAGGTATCTGTGGTGTTATGTGTACTGAAATACCATTCCTTTTGATTGCCAAATAATATTCCACTGTCTGGATAGACCACATTGCATTTAACCATTCATCTGTCAGTGGACACTTGGGTTGCTTTCACTCTGGAGCTATTATGAATAGTCAGCCATAGAGATCTCAGCCATAGAGATTCATTCTCAAATGTTATGCAGACATGTGCTTTTGCTTCTCTGGGGCATATACTCAGGAGTAAAATTCCTGAGTCATGCACAACTCTGCTTAGCATTCTGGGGAAGTGCCTGTCTGCTTTCCAAAGCAGCTGCACCACTCCACACTCCCGCCCACAGCAGTGTCCCCACCTGCTCGCCAGGACTTATTATCTCTCTTTTTCATTCTAGCCCCTGAGAATGTGGGAACTGACATCTTGCTGAGGTTTGGGTTTGGTTTCCCTGGGAACATCCCCATTATACAGAAAGGTAAGGAGAGGAGGCTGCCTGAGGCTATGCAGCAAGGGTGGCAGCGGGGAGACTGTGACCTGAGCACTTCTATCTACCCTATCTGCCTCCAGAAAATCTTTCCATGAAAGAGGAGGATGAAAGGAGACACATGGCCTTGGACGGCTCAGATGAGATCCTGTGGAAGCCCAGAATTGCGCAGTGCAGAGGTGGTGTGCAGGCCAGGGGGCATTGGCGAGCACAGCAGCATGAGCTTGGTCTGCCCAAGACCTCCCTGAAGGATCTGGGCCTTCCTGAGCCGCCTTGCACTTGGACATGTCTGGAAGTGATCATATCCACGGAATAAAGGCTCTCATTAGCCTGCGAGGGTCACAGTCAGACTAGGCAACCCTGCAGTCTCTGAACTCTGCAGCAAGTCTGGGGCCCTTCCTGCATCACAGCCGGGCTTTGCATCTCTATTCATCTATTATCCACCCTCCACCCACCCTTCCCTGACCTCAGTGTCCTCATTGCAAAACTGAGGGTGCATCGCCTGCACTGGAGCTGCTGTGGTGACACACAGGGCCTGGAACCCAGGGCTGTCACAACCATCACTGCACCAGGTCCCAGACCCTGAACTGCAATGCCATGGGCTTCTGCAGGTGCACAGAGGAGGGACCCGCTGGCCCAGGTAGAGTGCCAGGAGGACTGTGGCAGGTGGAATCCTCAGCCAGGCTGAGCCAAGGGGAGTCCAGAGCCCAGTCATGGAGCAGGAGGAGACAAGGGGGCCCAGTTGGCCCAGAATACGACACAAGGGCTTTGGGCTCTGGGAGGTCTGAGTTTAACAACTGTGTGACCTTGGCGAACTGCTCAGCCTCTCTGAGCTGTCTCCTCAGCGGCAGCAGGCAGCGGTGACCCCTCCTAGGGGAACGGGAGACACCAGAAACCACCCCCAGAATCTCATGTTCATGTGCACTGGAGACAGGGATGAGGGTGCTCACAGCACGGCTGTGGGCAAGAGCACCCAGAAGGCACCGCACCCCAAATCCCTGCCCAGAGCAGAGTGGCTAAGTTGATGAACTGTGGGACAGTCACATGATGGAATATTATACAGGAATAAATGCAAGATTATATGTGCATGTAGCAGCATGGATGACTCTCAGAAGTCTTATGTGGCATGAAAAATAGTCTAGGTGGGTGTGGTGGCACGTACCTGTCATCCCAGCTCTCTGAAAGGCTGAGGCAGGAGGATTACAAATTTGAACCCAGCCTGGGCCCCTTAGACTCTGTCTCAACATAAAAATAAAAAAGGGTTGGGGATGAGGTCCAAAGTAAAGCCCTGGATTAACCCCCAGTGACTGGTGGGGGTGGGTTGGAAAAGAAAAAAGTCTGATTCCACGCACATGTGGTCCAGAAAAGACGAAACTCAGATGCTTTGTTTAAAGTAACATACACATAGGTACTACTGAGACTATAAAAAGAATACCAAGGATGTGCCCGTCTTAACAGTCAGTGCTGTGGTCAGCTCTAAGGGAAGCGACATGTGGGGAAGACACTCAGCTGGTGGGAGTGGGGTCCACTTGGGGCGGCACCTCTGGGAGGTGATGGCTACCAGGTGTTTGCTTGATATAATCACTCATAAGACTACATAAATAGGCTCTATGCACTCGTGTGTGGCATGGTGATTATCTCAGAATCAAGGAATAATTTAAGTGCTTGGTGATTGGCCACAGCTGGACAGAGGCTGGTTTTCTGTCCTCTACGCAGGCCCACCAGCTCCCAGGCTCTGCCAAGACACCAGCCCCTGCTTGCTGGGCGGCAGAGCAGAGCCGCGCTCTGTACCTGCGTCGGTGTGGGTCAGCTGAGGCCTCCCTGACTCCCTGGGCCCTGCAGCTGGGCTCCCAAATAAATGCCCCAGAAAGACATGGCCTGCGACATGTTTTAAACCGCTTTATTCAGGTTGGCTGGTAGTCACAGATCGGATTATGATACAGGGCTACCCACTCACCCCCAGGCAAAGCCCTCGCCTCTCCCAGCAACTGGGTCTGTTGCTCATGGGCAGGCCAGAGGTTCGATCCAGCTCTGGGGGTGGGGAGGGGCCGAATAGAAATATTTACACGTTGCCAGGGGTGGGGGTGCCCCTGATCAGGGGTGGTGAGGGATTGGTAGAGGGGCCCTTGGATCCCAACGGCCCTGGTTCTTGGGTGGACTTGGCAGCCCAAGAGGGGACTGTGACATTGAGGCTGGCAGAGGGAGCCCCTGGGCGAGCCCCAAAGACCCTGGAAGGGGTCCTGCTGGTGCACGGCTCTGCAGGGGCTGGGGCCGAGGGGAAGGCCTCCCTCTGACCTGCTGTGGACTGGTGGTGCCCACCTCCCTGGAGGTCAGACCCACGGCTTAGGTATAGAGGCTGGACAGGAAGGGCCTGCCAGGGGCCACACAGCACCTCGCTCTCCTCCCAGGGTCTGGGTAAAGGCCTTCCTGGGGGCTCTGCACCCTAGTTCTTCCGGTGGAGGCTGTGAAGCTCTAGTTTTGCTCAGAGGGTTCAAGTCCAGAGCCAGGAAGGGATCACTGTTGGCAGCCCCGGGTCCAAGTGGGGATGTGGGGAGTCTGGGAGGCCCGCCCGGCTCAGGACAGGGTGGGGGCAAGCAAGCAAAACAAAACACGGGACTCCACTGAAGCTGGTGGCAGAAACGGGGCAGCCAGGCCCCGGCATGGTCCCTCCCCAGCATGGGGCAGGGCAGTTGTCCCTTGGAGCCCAGGGCCACCTTCTCCGAGCCGGGTCACCGAGAGGGGCTGAAGGGGGGACGGGCGGTGGGCTTGCATGCTGAGCGGGGGTGGTAGGCCGAGGGCCGGTGTGACGGCAGCCACTGGTAGCCTGGAGGAGGCGGCGGCAGCCGCAGGCAGTCCGTCCCCGGGGGGCTCTGAGCTCCGGCAGCGCGGCTACAGGCTGCAGGCCTCCTGGTCCACCGAGCGCTTGCGCAGCTCCTTGCCCGGCTTGGGTGGCGGCGGGGCGGGCGCGGCTGGAGGCGCCTCGGGCAGGTGCAGGACGGAGTTCTCGCCCGGCTGGACCCTCAGGTACGCCTTGACCTTGTGGTGCCGGGCCTTGCCGTCGCTGAAGTCAATGACACGACATTCATAGGTGCCTTCGTCTGTGGGCTTCACCCGCGACAGCCTGAGCTTGTGGGAGATGTTGCTACCCACCACCTTGACCACCTGGGGGCGACAGAGAGACCGTGACGCATGGAGGGGGACAGGGGGGCCTGGGAGCCCATCAGGAGGCTGAGTCCCTCCCCGCCCCTCAACACACACACACACACACACACACACACACGCACGCACGCACACGCACGCACGCACACATGCACACACACACACACACACACACGCATACGCACACGCACACGCGCGCACACACACACACACACACACACACACACGCACGTACACATGCACACACAAGGCCCCGTCAAGGTTTGCTGCAGTGTCACAAAAAAGCAAAACAAAAAGTAATTCAACTGTTCATCAGAGGAAGGGTAAATAGGCTGTGATGGATTCATCCGGTGAAATTCTGCACAGCCGTTAAGAGGCATGAGCTACACCACACAGGCCGGCGATCACGCACAGAAGGAAACAACACGGCGGAGTACTACTGTGCCGTAAAGAAGGACAAGCAGGAGTCACTGGTAGGAAAATGGATGCACCTGGATACACGAGCTTTAATATCACACGGTTCTCCTGTCTGAGAATCTCAGATTACAGATAAAGAGTAAAATAAGAGATGGATAGTAGGAAATAGGGAGCTCTTTTGTGAAAGAGGAGACCAGAAATGAAGAGAGGAGAAGGAAACGAAAAATGAATTAAGATGTGTTATGTACAGGTGCCAATTTTCCATGAGGAATGTGATCACTAAGTTCTGCAGACATGCAGAAAAAGAAAGAAAGAAAGAAAGAAAGAAAGAAAGAAAGAAAGAAAGAAGCACTCCTAGGGTCGGATGTCCTTTATGGAAACAACAGCGTCCTGGCGACTTTGCAGCCCTGGCGGGCAGCGCCCCCTCGCCGTGCGGTGCACCGCGGTGGGACAGGACCAGCCTGGCGGAGCTGTCGCCTCACCCGGCTGCTTTAGGGCAAAGGCTGCTTCCGAAGACGCCGCGCTCCGGCGCCGGTGGTGGGTGTGTGGCTCCAGCCCGCACCGGTCCTCTTAGTGTTTGTAAACTTGGGCCTTTGTCGGTCACTTCCACCGGGCTCTCCGGCGCCCACTCCGGCCACGCCAGGCCCTGACCCCGCTCTGAGCTCTGTGCGTGGCCGCGCGGCCCTGCCTGGCTGCTCCCGCCCAGCTCGGGGCTCCTGGCCGGAGTCGGGGCGCTGTCCCTTGCAGGCCGGCTGGAGCCAGCGTGGCCTGCCCACCCCCACCCGCCGCGGGCACGAGGCCGAGCCGTGGTCCTGCCGCTCGGGGCGGTGGGGAGGACACGCTGTGGCAAATGCGCAGCGGGAGGGCGCGAATTACCGCAACATCTGCTTCCCTCACGGATATTAATTATCCTTCATTTGTCAACCCTATGAGGCGCTAATGGAGTAATAATGCAAAGCGCTGGGAGCAGCTCAGGGGGTGGGAGCACCCGCAGGCCCGCCCTCTCCAGCCCCCCACCCCGCGCCACCCCCTCACAGGGCCGACCTGCTGCAAGCCCCAAGCCGGCTCCTCCCGCCAGTGACCTCTGCCCACGCACAGCTGTGGCCTCAGAAGTGCCAGCCACCCTCCTCAGGGAGCGAAGGGGGACGGAGGAGGTGAACATATGGCGGCACTGCAGCACCGGGCTCTGACCTTGACGTGTGCTCTGCACTCTGGCCTTGGTCTTCTTAGGTTACATTCATTTACTCATTCAACAAACTAAATTTAGGGAGCACCTGCTTTGAGGCTGGCGCTGGAGATGAGACTGTGAACAAGCCAGACCCAGTGAGGTCTGCGCGGTTACCTGTCTAATGCCGAAACCAGAGGAAGAGTGAGGACCCAGCCCCAGGAGCCTCCACTCGGGACACCATCTGCAGCAGGCAAAGGCTTGAAACAACAGTAACGGTAACAGTAACAGTAGTGCTAGCAGCCAAGGTCCACAGAGCAGTCATCACTGTGAAGCACTGTGCTGAAGCCTCACCAGTCTTCAAGCCTCACAGTCACCCTAAGATGTGGGCAGTGCCAGGACACCCATTGCGTGGGGGAGAAAACTTAGAGTGAAGTGTTCTTCCCAACCCCAGCTGGCCATAGTGACTGGGCCTTATCCACACCTCCGGGGCGCTCCATGAACAGAAAGCAGAGGCCCCCAGCACTCCAGGTCCTGGGGGAGCCCCACCCCAAACCTCATCAGAGGCTTATGCCTTTGGAGGGCCCGCACAGTCAGGCCAGCTTCGGGGGTGGGGGCACAGCCTGTGGGTTCTCAGTGCTCACAAATTGTCCAAAAGCCTTCTGGTCCAGCAGCCTGGAGAGGCCGTGAGCGGGAGACCCCCACGAGGTGGCTTGGTTATAAATCATAATCACCTCAGCACAGGCATCGACAGGCCTTAGCGGTGCCATTAAGCACCTAATTATGCTGAACGAGTCCTCACCACGACCAAGCCCAGCCTCCCTCCTGCTCACCCCAGGACCCTGGGCACTTTGGGCATGGCGGGGACAGCCCTGCGCCAGCTCCTCCTGCCCCACTTTCAGAAGGAGGGCAGTGCCACCTGGTGCCCACGACGCCAGCCCTTGCCCACACGTTGCTCCTAGCTGACGCAGTGACCCCCTGGAAGTGTAGAGGTGGGGCAGGGGCAGGTGGGGCAGGGGCAGGGGCAGGGGCTCCCCATCCCGGGCCAGGCTGTGCTCTGAGCTCCACTGGCTATTTTCTCAGCCCCTCAGCACATTCAGGGCTGACTCAGCACCCCCCAGACCCGGCCCAGCGGGACCCCGCTTGCCTTGTCCTCATCCCTGCCTTCCTTCTGCCCTGCTCGGTCTGGCCCTGAACCCCTCTTCCCTCTGCATGTCATGGGAAACGCCCTGCACTGACCAAGGCCAGGTCCTGGCTGCTCACACCCCGGGCCCCACCCCAGCTTCCTTCTAGGTCTCCCAAGTCACTGAGGCCCTTTCCATCTGTTCCACTGGAAACCTTTCCAGATGGGGCCTCGCCGCCCCCAGCAGCCCTCCTGGCTGTGCCGGGTCCCTGCCTGTTCCAGCTCCCCGAGGCCAGCAGCCCCTCCTCCATGCTGGTAGTCAAGCTGCAGTCTGGCTTAACCCTTGGCTCCCATCTGACCTGGGAGTTCCTCAAAGGCAGGGACTGGGCTTGTGTGATGAGGCCGGAGAAGGCACCTTCTCCTCACAGTGGCCCCAGACATTTCTTATGGTGACAAAGGCCTCTGGGAATGGGACTGGGGAATTCCTCAGGCTTAGAAGTCTGTGGAGAGCTATCTCTACTTGCAAAACTCTTTAAAGGTCCTGGGATATAGTTCAGCCTCACAAGTGCCTGCCTGGCAAGTGCAAGGTCCTGAGTTTGATTCCTGGTACCACAAACTCTTTAAGAGAAAATTAACTTAAACTCTAGCACAGAGGGCTTTAGCAAGATTAAGAGAAAAAGTTGCACAAGTGTGACAATGGCCAACAGGCAGAAGTGTCATCTGCACCACAGCACAAAGCCCTTCCTGTCAGGTCAGTGGGACCCTCAGCCCATGCAGGCCACCCGGGGGACGCTGCTAGAGCAAGGACCCCTCCCCAGATCCCCTAAGATGATGCATGCAGAGTGGGCGGCATGGCCAATGCTAGGCACCCAGTGACAGTTGGTGGCTACGGTCCTACTGCATCATTATCTCACTATTTCACAGGTGCCGGTCCTCCCCTATACACGGTCTCACTGCCACCAGATTCTGAGTGTTTTCCTTTCTGCAGCCCATTTTTCTTGCTCCACGATAGGAAAAGGAGACTTTTGGTTCTCAGTGTCATCTAACAAGTAAATGACCACTGTCCTTCCACAGCCAAATCCATGGTGCTTTAGTCTCCAAAGTGTTTTTATATGCTCTAGACAAGTGCTGTTAGGAGACCTGGAGATCCAGGAAGGTGGCCCAGCTGGAATCAGGACTCAGCTCCTGGACACTAGGTCCTGGCGCCCACCATGTCCTCACAGTGGCACCTGGCTCTCAGAATAGCCAGGTCTCGGGCACTGGGCCTTCCCAAGGTTAACACAGTGACCCAGACAGTTCTAAGCCCTCCTGGGACCACACTCCTAAGCTGATGGCACTTCCTCCCCAGAACCCGAGACCACCCAGGATCCAGATGCCACCCAACTGTGGACTGTGATGTTCGGGTCATCGGTGTTTCTTAAGAGGTCAAATTATGACCCAAGAGTTAACATCAGGAGATGCTCCACCCATGGTGGTATTTGTAGAAGACACAGGAATATCAGTCCTGGTTTCCTGCCTGGCTCAGCTACCCGATAAAGATAATGGACCCTGGATTCCCGGGTCCCTGTGGTCCCCACATGAGCACCTTTGCTCACTCTCATCACCCTACACATACATACATATACCAGAGCAGGATCTGTGTCACAGCTGTAGGTCCCTGCACAGCAATCTGTTTCTATACACGCTGGCCTGTGTGTGTGTGTGTGTGTGTGTGTGTGTGTGTGTGTGTGTGTGTGTGTGATTGTTTACTGGACGCTGACTGTGCCAGGTTCTATCTCGGGCCCTGGTGTAACAGTGCCTCCCGCAGGCATAGTCCTGGGGCCACCGTCTCTGGGGGAGGCGGACGGGACGCAATGCTCACAGGAAAGGATAATGACAGGTGGAAATACAGGCATGGGGGAAAGCAAGAAGCGCCACTGTCACTGGGCTGGGCCTGGAGGCTCCCCCAGCTGACCTGTAAAGGGAACAGAGGGGCAGCTTTCCAGGCAGAGGGCCTGCCTGTGCAAAGGCCAGGGGGAGGAGAGGATGGGAAGGCAGGAGGGCACAGTGTTGGGGAGCGCAGTTGGGAGGAGCCCCAGGAGTGGGCAGAGCAATCTGCAGAGCCTTGAAGGCCAAGGAGAAGTTAGAGCCCTTGTTTCAGACTGCAGGAAGCGAGGGTGTGCACCTGTGACGGTGTCCAGCTGGGCCTCTGTGTACCTGAGGATGAGGTCTGTGAGGACAGGGCCTAGGCCAGCTTGTGCATTTCCTCAGCAGACCTGAAGAGCCGCAGCTGGGGCAGCAATGGCAGGGGGTGGGCTGGGGGCGAGCCCACCCTCACGTGGAGCACATTTATTTTATTTAACTAATTTTCATGGTGGCATTCCCCTCACGTGGGGCCCAGCAGCCTGGAATTATAATCCTCTAAATCAATTACATTATTCTCTCCTTTGCCTGAGCCTCATCTGAAACTGCAAACAAAAATCATAGGAGAGGCTTTTGATGAATGGGGTGTGTTAATATACACCCGACCCCCACCTACCTTGCTGGTGGGGGTTCAGGCGAGACATGGGGTGTTAGACACAGCTGAGCCCCCAGCAGAGGTGAGGGCAGGCAGGAGGGGAGGTGGCACCCCCAGCACCCTGAGCTGGGCCTGGCTGGAATTTCCAGAGCCAGCTGTTCCAACCCAGGCTGATGGGGTACAGGGCTCCTTGGTGGCCCTTGCACTCTCTTGGTGGAGCCTTGCCTAAGTGGCTGCAGGAGTCCCCTCCCGGCCTGCCTGCCTCCACGCTCCCCCCTCCAGTGCCAGACACGATCCTGTACCCCCACGCTCTAGGCTGTACCTCTTGGTTTGGGAGGGCATCTGCATCCAGTTGGCCGTGGAGCCCTGAGCTGCCCCCTGGTTCTAGACAGTTCTCCAGGGAGGAGTGAATGTACAAAGGTCACCCTTGCACACGTGTACATGGTCATGCTCATGCCAGCACCTTCGTGTCCTCAGGCACAGATCCAGCCAGGTGACACGGCCACACGCATCCTCAGCCTGGTGGCCTCAGCTTGGTCTTCCCCTTTCTCAATCCTGTCTGCCGCTGCCAGGCCCGGCTCTGGGAGCCCCACCCCCGTACCCGCCACCCTCTCAGCTCTGCTGTGCTCCTGACCTGAGTCCCAGCATAGGCTGGGACATCAATCAACTTGGGGTGAGCCCCAGCAGGTCTTTGACTCCCTTCCCAGTCTCGATTATCCCCACCCACAAAATGGATAAATAATTGCCCTTTCCTATGCATGTGGCTATAACAAAATGCGCCAATGCATAAGAAGTTGACCAGTCCTGAGTCCTCATTCCCGGGAGCTAGATCACTCAAGGGACTCAGGAACTCAGGAGCTGTGAGATGCTGTCACTGTCAGACATGATGAGAAAAAAAAGCCCACTCAGTCTCATTAGACTTTGTTGTTTCCTCAGATAAAAATGCTGCTGAGACAGGCAGGCAGCATTGAGCGCACACAGCCTTGGCCCCGACACGAGAGAATGCATTTTCTCTCCTCTTGTCATTTTTTGTGCCTGTCATTCAATGAACTTGAAAAATCTCTAGCTTTTAAAACAGAATAGGGCTATTTTTCCCCCTTTCTCTTTTTCTTCTCCTCCATCTTCTGCCCAAGCTCCCTTGCTGAAATGGACCCCCCAAAATGTTTTTTAAAGGTACAGCCTCCTCCTCTATTAGAGCCTTTGTGAGAAGGCATTATCAAACTCACACTTATTTTGGTGGCCTCCTTCCCTGCGTCTTCCTGCTGAGATGCTTTCAGCTGTTGGAGGGGGAGGGGCAGAGAGAGCAGAGACGGTGTTAGCAGGTGGTGAAGGCGGGGGACATACACTGTGGGATGGGACATGGGGACAGGGGGGACGCTGGATAAAGGGAGGTTGAATTTGATCAGTGCAAATACCCACCAACATGTACAGTTAACACATGTTAATACAAAATTTAAAACCATTTTTAAAAAGATTCTAACTATAGCAGAGGATGCTTGGAAGCTATGAGGTCTGGGGTTGGGGTCCTTGAGCGCTGTGTCTGCTCAGGGTGTAGGGGAGGTGTCAGACAAAAGACACAGGTGGCACCTGGGAAACTGGCTGCCCACTATGCGGCTGGGTCCATGAGGGTGTGGGGTATCCACAGGGGGTGCCTGCGAGCAGAGGGCCTCTGCTCGGCAGTCAGCAGGGGTGTGTGCCCTGCGCCAATCTGTGAACGTGCATGTGTGGCAGATGCCACTGTATGACTTCCCCACAAGCTGCCCCGGGGCCTTCCACCTGCAGATATCCGCAACTCCATTCCTAGTGGCTTTCTCTGGCCAAGGTCCTTTTCATCTATGTGTAGCAGGCTGACACACTGGGCACCCAGCACCCCCAGGAGCTGAACAGAGTGCGACATGACCTTATGCATATGTTAGCAGCACTTTCATGAGACAAGAGAACGTGTGGCTTGCTACTGTGTGCATGTGAGGTGTGCACGTGTGTGTTCACATGTAGCTGCATTTGCACATCCACTTATGTAGACACTCATGCACAGATGCAAGTGTCTGAAGATGGTGACCCCAACAGCAGACCTGAGGACAGATGGAAGTACCTACCAGTGGCTTACATGGGAGGTGACCCCAGCAGGAGAGAGAAAAAGGGAAGTGAGATAAAAAGGGGAGACACCCGAGCCATGGGAGCTTAAGCCAGCTGGCCCCTGCAGGCACCCCGGGACCCCTGGGATGCTCTTCAGCTTCCGGCCCACCTGCCTTGCAGCCAGCAGGCTGTGCTTCGGGGACAGCCCTTAGGCAGAGATGCAAGAGTTGACAGTTGGCAGTGGGCTGGTGGTAGGGCAGGTGGCAGGGACCCTAGCATCTGCTCTAGGCTGTGTGTGTGTGTGTGTGTGTGTGTGTGTGTGAGAGAGAGAGAGAGAGAGAGAGAGAGAGAGAAAGAGAAAGAGACCAGGGTTGCTGGGAGACTGTCTGCATGTACACACATGAATGCACTTCAGGATGAACTTGGCAAGAATGACACCCATGTTTGCTGAATCATGTACAGAACGTATCTCCCCCATGGCCTGGAGACATGGGGAATGTGAACCAGGAGACCCGCTTTGCCTCAGAATCTGGAGCCAGCTTCTGTGCCTCTGGCCTCAGTTTCCCCAAAGAGAGGGCCCCTGTGCTCCCCCAAGGTCCCCCTTGCTGTAGCATCTCAGGGCCTCCCCTCCTCTCTGCCTCTTGCTTTTCCTGAAAGGACTTCCTTCTGGGCATCGCCTACCGGACCCAGGGGGTGAAGGGGGGACCAGGATGGTGCTGCCGCAGAACAGCTCAGCGGGGCACAGGGCTGCGCCACCCGCCCCACCAGCTCTCCACGGTACCTGGTTGGAGGCCCACGCTTGCTTGTCGGTCCAGTCCCGGTGGCTCCGCACGTACCACCACTGGATCTCCAGCGAGTAGGACGGGGAGCCGCTGCCGCGGAAGGAGCAGGCCATCTCCACGTCCTCGCCCGTCCGCGCCGTCATGTCGTGCGGCGTCTCTGTGAATAGGGCTGCACAGAAACAGGGAGGCGTGGTGGGCTCAGGACCCAGCACCGAGGGGCACGGGAGGGAGAGGGTTAAGACGCCGCCAAGCAAGAATGGAGGGGACAGGCCATGGCCTGGCTCCAGGTGGGCAGGGCTGGCAGGAGGTGGGGAGAAGGATCAGTCTCCCTGGAGGCCCGCTGTCAGCTGGACCTCTGTCTGGGAGCCCTGGGAGGCCGCACAGGGGACAGATAGTGGGGGGTGAGCAAGGAGGCCAGGAGGCTGGAGTGGCTGTCAGTCTCATCAGCACACTGACCCTCCCCGTCGCCACCACCCTATCCCCCTCAGAGGTCACTCCTGGCCCGCTATAGGCAGCCAGCACCATCTCTGCGAAAGCCAAATCCACCCTGGCCTCCTCCTTGCTTAGGACCCTCTGTGGCTCTCACCACTCCCCTGATGACCCAGACTTCTCCCTGGGCACCCAGGGGTGGCAGCCTGGGCTCTATCCCCTGAGCTAACCTCGCTCTCCCACTCACTTTTGTGGGGCTGGCCCTTGTGGCCCACTCCTGGGCTCCTCTTCATTCAGCAGCAGCTCGGCCGAGGGTGCCCCTCTGAGCGCTCCTCCGCCACTACCCTGAGGAGAGCCCTACCTCCTGCCTTTGGTCACATTGTCACTGGTTGTGGTGGCTTCCTGGGGCACACGACCCAGGCTTGTTGAAGGGTCTCCTCTTTAGGAGAAGTGCAATTTCATCCCTTCCCCTTCAGGGCCCAGCCCCGCCCCCTCAATTCCCTGATCTACAGGGGCTGCCTGGCCCTGCCACCCTGCCAGAGTCACTACTGGGGGGCCAGCACCCTCCCCATCACACACTCAGTCTCTCTCATCTCCCCAAACAAATGTCTTCCTGAGAAGTAATTAGAATTCTTTCCTCTTCTCAAGGGAGATTATCTTACTCCAGAAAGATGCCTGGCAATGTGTGGGTCACCCAGGAAATGTGATGTCAGCCCCCTCCCCTTTTGCTGCAGCCTGCCAGGAACCCCCAGTCTAGAGAGGCAGACATGAGATGCCCAGCTCTGAGAGCTCTCACTCACCTGTTCCATTCTGTCCCCTTTAGTCCCAAGAAAGAGTGGAGCCCTGGGCTGGGAGGTGGTGGGGAGCAGGTGAGGTCTGAGTCCCACCCTCACCCCCAGGAACAGCTCAGCTCACGGAGTGGCAGACCACAGCTCCCCCCGTCACTGGGGCTCCCCAGAAGGCCATGCAGGATGTCGCTGCCTGGCTGACTCAGAATGGGGCCATGTTATAAAACACACACAGAATATTCCAGTTTCTGGTAGTCAGGCGGAAAAAAATTTTAATGTGAAATTAATTTTAATAATGTATTTTATTTAACCCAAGATATCAAGAAATTATTATTTCAACATGTAATAAAATTACTAGTGAGTCATTTTACATTCCTTTTTTGTGCTAAACCATGGAAATCAGTGCATTTTACGTGCTCATAATACATCTCAGTAGTGTAATGCTGCGTGTGCAGACAGCAACCCAGCATGTGGTGACCTGTGTCAGCCTGGGGGGCCCCGCGCCTTGCCCACCCTCACAGTTAGGAGCAGGCAGCCAGGCCCAGCAGAGGATGGCCTCCCACCGCCATCTGTCACGCCTTCAGGCTCTCCCTGCCTGCAGAGCCCTCTCTAAGGAGCAGTCCCTATACCCGCCTGGCAGGGTCCCGCTAAGGTGGGCATCTGGTTCTCAAGTGCCCAGGCCGGGGATATCTCACAGCCCGGGCAATCAAGGCAGGCTTCCCTGAGGCCTCTTAGAGGTCAGCCCCAGTGGGGCAGGAAGCAGGGCGATGGTTTGCGTTGTGAGAACCAAGAACCGAGCCTCCAGGCCTCAGGAAACATGTTAGCTGTGAGGGAGCCCATAGTGGACTCTGGTTCAAGGTACCTTGGCTCCCAGACCCAGCCTGGTGGGATGCCATGGGGGAGGCCCCCTCAGGATCCCAAGAGCTCTGACCTTGTGGTGACAGGGACACTGTGCCTGTAGGACACAGTGGCGAGCTAGGTTCTGGGGATTACACAGAGCGTGCGCCTCCCAGGCCTGTCCTGAGCCTGCCCTACACAAGCCAGGAGGTAGGAGCCCATGTGTGCAGGGGAGCCCTGGGAGCACTGGACAGGAGCCGGCAGTGGGGTGGGATGGAATCTGGCCAATAGAACTGGTGGGGTGAAGGGGATAGTGCAGGGGTGTTCTCTCTCAAGCACTGAGGTCCTGCCGCTGTGAGCCCTTGGCTGACACCCAGCAGAATGTGAGGTGAGTCCTAGGGGCAGGTAGTGCCTGGGAATGGGGAAGGGAGAGGTCACCTGCATTTGGGGGCAGGGGACCTGGGAAGGCTTCAGAGAGGAGGAGCCTGCAAGCCAGGCCTTGAAGCCTAGTGTATCCTGACAGCAGAGGCAACAAGGAAAGAGACCACAGGCAGGAAGGGCGCAAGCAGAGACTTACAGCATGCCTGGCTCTATGCAGACACCAGTCCATTCCCATTAGACAGGTGAGACGGGGAAGTTCTTCTTCCCCAAACTCACAGTGCTTCATTTGAAACCCAGCTCTGGGAGCAGCTGCGACCAGGATCCATGGGTAGCAGCTCCTCAGGCTTTGGTCTGAACTGTTAAGTAAAGTGGAGCCATCAGGCTCCTCCTCCCCTAAGTCTGTACCAGACCTTAGTAATGGACGGAAGCTGGGGGGTGATCCAGGGCATCCTGATGATGGTAATGATGATGATAATGTAATAATAATCTCTGAAGTTGAAGAAAGAAGGACAACCATTTGCAATCAGGCTGTGTGCCAGGTTCTCTGCATACATTTTTTCATGATGCCATGGGGTGGGGATGACTCTCATTTTCCTCATTTTTCAGATGGACAAGCCAAGGCTCAGAGAGGCTGTGACTTACTCAAGGCTGTGAAGTGCATCAGTGGTGAAACCAAAGCCAGTTCTGGGGGACCTTACGCTGCAAGTATGCAACTTGTAGAACATCCTCAGGCAGCCTCCTCGCCAGACCCCACCCCATTCCCTCCCTGCAGCCTCTAGGATCCGGCCCCCACACTAGCACCACAGCAGAGCTGCAGACAAAGGGGCTGTCTCTCCTCTTTGGCTTCCTCTGCCCCAGGTGACTCGCAGCCAGGCCCAGGGGCCTAGAATAATTATAGATTTGGGTGAAAGAGTGAAATGTGTTCTTCAGCCCCAGGGTCCAAGCTGGGCCAGGCCCTAAGGGAAGACAATTAAAACCAGAGTGCACAAATCAGGGTTCCACAGGGAGAGGAGAGCTGGCACTGAGCACAGCATTTCTCCCTCTCTGCTCCTGACTGGGGGAGCGATGCACTCATTAACCCTGGGCAGTGCTGGGGACATGGGCTGTGGGCACTGCCTCAGTGGGGACTAGTTTCTTGGCAGGGTTGGAGATGACCTGGCAGGCCTGGTTTGACTGCCAACTCCAGGCCCCAACAGCCCCCCAAACTCTAGGCTTCATCCTGCACAGAGTGAGGACTTGGCCTTCAGGACATGCTGGAATCCTGCCCCCCTCCTTCATAGCTGTGTGTCCAGGGCAAGCCCCCTTTGCCTCTCTGAGCCTGTTGCTTTCAGAGAGAGAGAGAGAGAACAACACAAGGTGACTTACACACCTCCTTCCTGGTACACAGTAGGGCTCAATAAATGGCAGTCCCTTCCTGTCTTCTCACTCCAAACTCCCAACACCAGAAAGATCTTTTTTTTTTTTTTTTTTTTTTTTTTTTGTCTTTTTCCTTTTTATCGGTACCAGGGATCGAACTCACGACTGCCTGCTTTCAAGGCAGGCGCTTATGCCGCTGAGCTAAATCCCCAGCCCCACCAGAAAGATCTTTAAAGATGCTTCCAGTTGCCTCACTGGAACACGCAACAGACGCAGCACGCGTGTCTCACCCACCAGTCCAGTCCTCCTCTCAAGGCTCCTTTGGGGCCAGTGCTTCACCTCGCAGAAGTAGCTGGGCTCCTTTAGGCTGAGGTTTTCCCATTTACAGCAGCGGCACAACTCCCTCATCACTAAACCCAGATTCCCCACCCTAGACCCTCTGGTGCATCCCCAGTCGCCCTTCTCCCTCTGCACAGCCCTCCCAGCCCCTCCCCTCCAATCTGGTGGAAGGCTGCCTCCTCCAGGAAGCCTGCAGAGAATGTTCCCAAGCCCAGCCCCGGCAACCTCTGCTGGAGAACAAGCTCCCCTCAGGCTCAAGGTGGGGAGTAAGGACAGATCTACCCAGGAATCTCAGACAGGGGTGTCCTGCTGGCTGCTCAGTCACACCACAGACCAGGCTCTGTCTCTTACTTGGTCACACTGATACTCTGTGCTCAAAATCTCTAGTGATGAATGGATACAGAATATGTGCAGTCCGTCCATGCAAAGAACGATTACGCAGCCTCAGAAGGGAAGGAATTTCTGATAGAAGCCACAGTGGATGAACCTTGAGGACATTAGGTTAAGTCATCCACAGCACTCACAAAAGACAAATGTGGTGTGATTCCACTTACGCAAGGTCCCAGAATGGTCCAGTTCACAGAGAGGAGGGTAGCTGCCAGCAGCTGGGGGTGGGGTGGGTGGGTGATGGGGAGCGACCACTGTAATGGGCAAGTCTCTGTGCAGGGTAATCAAAGGTTTTGGGAAGCTGGGGGCGGTGTTCCATGCCTGTAATCCCAGCTTCTGGGAGTTTTTTAAATTTTATTTTTGGTACTGGCAACCAAACCCATAAGGCAGGACTGGGGACAGTGGCAGGCACTTATGCAGCTAAGCTAAATCCCCAGCCCATTCCCAGCTTCTGGGGAGGCTGAGGCAGGATTGCAAGTTCAAGGCCAGACTCAGCAACTTAGTGAGGTCCTGTCTCACAATAATGAATCAAAGGGGTTAGCGTAGCCCCGAGCTCTCTGAGTTCAATTTTCAACACCACGAAACAAACAAAACAAAATTTCTGGAGCTGGATGGTGGTGAAGGCTGCAGAGTGACCTAAATGTGCCTGATA